CCCGCTGGCTGTCGCAGGGCCAGTGCTGACCGCCTGCCAACCTGCCGCGGCCCGCCGCACAAGTATTCCAAGGTTGCCCCTGAGACTGCTCTCTTTATGAAAAATAAATGGGAAAAAAATTCACACAAGGAAAAAAAATCTAACTAGTAAATAATTATAGTGTTTCTCTTTGTGAGCTGCACAGAAATCTGAACCAAAGCAACTTGACTCTACCTTAAGACCTAATGAGGTTATCTAAACTTTCAGAGCATTAACAAAGCAGGCAGGCTTTATGGGGTTACAGAGAAACCAGCACATCCTTAACTCCGCGTGGCATTATAAACTGGTGAACTATTCTGGAAATTAACTTGATAGATGGTATATAAGATTTCCTGTGATACTGTGAGATGAAATGTTATAAAGTCAGAATTTCCCTCAAAATAATCCAGACGTGGGGAGAGAAGGCAGAGGTGAAACAAGATGTGGTAACCCCTGAAGCTGGTAACAGGCAAATCTGACACTGTTCCCACTTCTGTACACTTGAAACCTTTAATAATTTGTTAATGGTATCAGAAGAAACAAAAATGTTTATGCTCTTTGATATATTCATTTAACATACAGAAATCAAATGTATTCTAAGACATATTTAACAGAAATGAAAAAATGATTAGAAATACTCAAAGCAATATCTATGACAAAAAATTTAAAAAGGAAACAGCCAACAAACTAGAAGTCTTAACTAATAAATACACCACTCATGTGATAATGTGCAATCATTAAAAATATTTCTGTATTTTTTACATAATTTTATGAAGATGATGTAGCACTCTGGACAAAATTTAAAATTGAGAATAGAATGCAGAAATTAATGTAAGATTGCAAAGATTAAAAAATTATTTTATATGGGGAAAGTAATTCAAACAAAAATAGTTGTCCCAGGATCAGAGGATAGACAAATAGTTCATTGTTTAGCATCATTTTATTGGTCTTCAACCTGACATAAAGGTCAGACAAAGCAGAATCGTCTGTAATCAACGTGGGCTGAGTGAAGTGCTCGGGTTTCGGGAACAGACGACTGCGGAGACTCGTGCTGGGTGTCAGCATATGAGTCACCCAGGAACCACCACTTACTAGAAGGCCACTTGGAGTTTGGGGCCGCCAAACCCAGAGACCCCCACGGCAGCCCCCTTGGCTTCTCCGTGGCATTAATATCAGTGACCGTTCACTTCTGCTAACAGATTCTCCTTCCACTGCTTCTGCATTAAGACACTGAGCTATGTTTGCCCAAAGCCCTTAGACTCCCTGTCTCTCCATGAGCCCCAGCCCCAGCTCCAGTCTTTGCCAGTTCTCTGCTGTGTGCCCCGCTGGGACCTGTCCTTGCTCACTAGCATCTGCTCGCTGGGATCTGGGGGTGGCCGGGCTCTGGCCCCCCTTGCCCCGGCTGCAGGCTGCACCCTCGTGGGCAGCATTCTCCCGCACCTCCCCCCCGCACAGGCTGCACCCAGGACTTGATGCCATATACACAGGCCAGTCACTCACACCTACAAATTGCTTCAGGTGAGGAGAAAAACGGAAGGAGCCCAGCAAAAGCCCAGAATAAATATAAGCTCTTGCAGGCCTCAACTTCACTTGCAAAATGGAACATCACCTCAGCAGTGACAATCTTGTAAGGATGTCTCACCAGGAGGGAAAAACAGGAGAAAGAGCACCTCTTATCTCTTAAAATGGGCCTCTTAGGTTGGTAGTTTCTTAATGTAAGTGATCTCAGCAAACACAAAGTCTCTTCTTGGGAACAAACCTGGATACAACAGTCAAGTTTTAAAAATCAAGCCTACTCTAACTCTGTAAAGCAGTGTGAAAACACAGAATGCTTTTTTTTCCAAGCACAGCAGCAGAGTGATCTGTGGTCTCTAACCAGGAGAAACATAGCTCACTTACCCTTAAACTGAGAAATAACAATTCTTCAGGCTTCACCGACCTACCCACTGAATGAAGAGAAACAAGGGCCAAACGGCTGGCATGAGTTACCTGCATACGGGTACTGGTAGGGCACAGCATAGGCCTGCCCGTTGGCAGCGTAGACAACCTGGGTTCCTGGTGGGTAGGCGCCGCTGTACGGCCCATAGCCGTACGCCTGCTGCAAAGAGAGCGTCTCGTTAGAAATCCAATTTTGAAGTTCAACATCCATTTATCAGAACTCGCAACACAGTAGGTTTAGAGAGAACATACCTCACACATGTCAGGCCCACAGTGAGCATCACACTCAGTGGTGAAAAGCTAAAAGGTTTTTCTCTAAGACACAGATGCCTACGCCAGCCACTTTTATTCAACACAGTATTGGAAGTCCTAGCCAGAGCAATTAGACAAGAAAAGGAAATAAAAGGCATCCAAACTGGAAAGGAAAGAGTGAAAGTATTACTGTATGCAGATGACATGATACTGTACATAGAAAACGCTAAAGACTCCACCAAAAAACTGTTAGAATAAATGAATTCAGTAAAGTTGCAGGATACAAAATCAATATGCAGAAATCTGTTGCATTTCTCCACACTAATAACAAACCATCGGAAAGAGAAATTAAGAAAACAATCCCATCTACAACTGCATCAAAAATAAAAAAATACCTAAGAATAAATTTAACCAACGAGGTGAAAGGCCTGTACGTTGAAAACTATAAGATACTAAAGAAAGAAACTGAAAATACAAATAAAGGGAAAGGTACTCCAAGCTAATGCACTGGAAAAACTAATAGTTAAAATGTTCATACTATCCAAAGTAATCTAAGATTCAATGCAATCCCTATCAAATTTCCAATAGCATTTTTTGCAGAAACAGAACACTCCTAAAATTTGTACGGAACCACAAAAGACCCCAAATAGCCAAAGAAGAACAAAGCTGGAGGCAGCATGCTCCCTGATTTCAACCTCAACTACAAAGTAATCAAAAACAGTATGGTATTGGCATAAAAACACACATCTAGATTAATGGAACAGAATAGAGCCCAGAAATAAACCCACACACACGGTAAATTAATTTACAACAAAGGAGCCAAGAATATAAAATAGGGAAAGGGCAGTCTCTTCAATAAATGTTGCTGGGAAAACTAGACAGCCATATGCAAGAGAATGAAACTAGACCACTATCTTATACCACACACAAAAATTAACTCAAAATGGACTAAACACCTAACTGTAAGACCAGAAACCATGAAACTCCTAGAAGAAAACACAGGTGATAAGCTCCTTGACGTTGGTTTTGGCGATGATTTCTGGATCTGACTGCAAACGCAAAAATAAACAAGTGGGACTACATCAAACTAAAGCTTCTGCACAGCGAAGGAAACCGTCAACAGAACGAAAAGGCAATCGACTAAATGGGAGAAAGTATTTGCAAATCATGTATCTGAAAAGGAGTTAATATCAAAATATATGGGAAAAAACTCATAAAACACAATAGCATAAAACATAATAGCAAAAAACCAATCTGATTTAAAAATGGGCAGAGAAACTGAACAGACATGTTTCCAAAAAAGAAATGCCGATGGCCAACAGACACATGAAAAGATGCTCAACATCACTCATCATCAGGGAAATGCAAATCAAAACCACAAAGAGGTATCACCTCAGACCTGTCGGAATGGCTATTATTAAAAAGACAACCAATAAGAAGTGCTGGCGAGGATGTGGAGAAACGGGAGCCCGCGTACACAGCTGGCAGGAATGTAAATCGGTGCCTCCACTATGGAAAACGGTATTGGAAGGAAGTTCCTCAAAAAATTAAAAGTAGAACTACCATATGATCCAGCCATTTCATTTCTATGTATTCATCCAAAGCAAACAAAAACACAAACTCAAAAAGATACCTGCATCCCCATGCTCATTCCAGCACTATTTACAACAGCCAAGATATGGAAACAACCTAAATGTCCACTGATCAATGAACAGATACAAAATAAGTCCGTGCTGGGTATATAATGTACAGCCTGGTGACTACAGTTAATAATACTGTGTTGTATATCTGAAAGTTGCTAAGAGAGATCTTAAAAGTTCTCCACATACAAAAAAAAATTCTTTATGCATGGTGATGATGGATGTTAACTAGACCTACTGTGGTGATTATTTTGCAATATGTACAAGTATCGATCATTATGTTGTAGACCTGAAACTAATATAATGCTGCAGGTCAATTATACCTCAATTAAAAAAATACAATTTTGAAACCACTGATAATTGATTAAAATTGGTTCTCCAAGTTACAGTCAATAAAGTTTAACAATCCATTAAAAAAAAAGAACATGAGACAGTGTGCTTATTCCCTTTAAGATTAAAACACACACACACACACACACACACACACACAAAACTCCACAACTGAAGTCTACTTTCAGGCTGCAAAATGAAGCTGGAAAAATATAGAAAAAAGAGAACTGGATTTGGTAGAGATATGCATTTCAATTCAGCTGTACCACTAACTTCACCTTCAGTAAGTCGTGTATCTAACAGCTGTAGGCCTTGCTTTGTTCATTTCTAAAATGATCAGGTTGGACGAGGTGACAAATGAGATTCATCCAAAACCAGTTTTCTCCTACTGAAGCCAGCCTCACAGCAGAACCCTCTCCAGCCCCAATTTCCAGCAGTTCCTGGCAGGAGAATATAAAACACTGAGGATGTGGATGGGGTCTGAAGTCTACGGCCCGGCACGTGACTGGCAGTTTGCCAGGAGCACATGCCTGTGAGATGGCCTCCACTGACAGGGGAGTGACTACCACATCCCAGGAGATGTGGAGATCAAGGGCCTGGCCTTTATGAGCTCACAGGTGTTGGGTGGGGGGCAGACATGTTTATAGACAACTACAATTACTGCTGTTATGTGACAAGGACTATGTCATGGGAAAACAGGGAGCTGTGGCCTGGCAAACACATGTGCAGATCTAGAGCTGTTATCTTACAGAAGCAGGACACGGAAAAGCCTTGACATTATACATAAAACACACACAAAGAGACTCTGAAAGGTGGGGAGAAGGCAGCCAAGTGTCCAGGGACCTCATGACCCTAAGAAGGACACACAGCAAGCTCCCTAGGTTTCCTTTCCACCTCCTTCATCCTAGCCTGGACAGTCGAGAAGCCAGCAACCAGCAAATGCCAGTAAGTACAGACAAAAAAGGCCTCAAGAAAGCCTGTTACCTCTGCCCAAAGATTCTAGGGAGGAAAAGGGCAATCTGGCAAGAGACCATTTTTAAGTAATAACTGCTCTATTCTAGCCAAACACTAAAAAATAGCTATGGGAGTTACTCCCACCGGCAAAGGTCTAGTATGGAGAGTCTGAACTTCCAGGCTTGGCAGGCTGCAACAAGACGCCACCCTGCCCCATCCCAAGCAGTGTCAGAAAAGGCCCAGGGGGAAACTGGGCGTTCCATCCCTGCCAGATGGAAACAAGTCACCCCCAGCCCCATGGCCACAGTGTCAGTGGAGACCATGCAGGGAGCCCAAACTACCACCTTGGCCCAGCAGAAACAAGGTATCCTCCTGTCCCGCTGGGGCAGGCTCGGCAGAGACCCAGTCGAGCGCACTGGGGAGCAGCAGGGAAGGCACTCCAGCTCCCAGGCAGGCTGCTGTCAGCAGACCCCTGGACAGGGGCCTGAATTCCCAGCCCTCCCAGGAGGGACGGGGAGCCCACGCCCCAGGGTCAGATGTGACCCAGTGGACAACCCAGACTTCCACCACTACGTGGAAGCAACGAAGCAGACCCCGTCTTCACCCACCAGAGCAGCATTAGGAGGAAGGCTGCTAAAATGCAAGACTTACATGGATTCAGTCTTATATTATTTAAAATGTCCAGGTTTTGATCAAAAATAATTCACCATACCAAGAACCAGGAAGACCTCAAACTGAATGAGAAAAGACAACAAAAGAGACCAACACCAAGATGACAAAGACATTGAATTATCTAGAAAGGATTTTAAAGCAGCTATCACTAAAATTTTCAATAAGCAATTAAGAACATGTTTGAAATACATAACAGAAACCCTCCACAAAACCAGGAAATCTCAGGAAAAACTATATAAAGATATATATCTTGATACATATACACACATATATATCAAGATATAAAGAATAATCAGATAAAAATTTTAGAAATAAAAAAACTAATAAATTATTTAATAAATGGACTCAATAACAAAACAGAGGTAACTGAGAAAAATAATCAATGAACATGAGCATAAAGAGCAGAAATTACCCAATTAGAACAACAGAGAGAAAACAGATTCAAGAAAAAAATGAACAAAACCTCTGGGACATGTGGGACACCTAACACTGGTGTCATCAGTTTCAGAAGAGAGAGGTGAGCCTAAAAAACATTCCAGAAATAACAGCCTAAAATTTTCCAAATTTAGCAAGAAACATAAACCTATATATTCAAGAAACTGAGTGAATACCAAACAAGATAAACCCCCAAATATCCACACCAATACACACCACAGTCAAACTTCTGAAAACTACAAAGAAAGTAACCAGAAACAAATAATGTACTACCTATATGGGGGGGAATCTGAATGACAGATTTCTTACCAGAAACCAAGAGGGCCAAAGGAAATAACACACATTTACAAAGTGCTGAAAGAAAAGATATGTCACCTCAGAAATCTATACTAGTGAAAATGTTCTTCAGAAACAAAGAAGAAATCAAGGCATTCTCAGATGAAGGAAAACAAGAATCTGGGGCACCTATTCTAAGAGAATGACAAAAGGAAGTTTACTAAATAGACAGCAAATAATAAAAGAAATCTTGAAACATCAGGAGATAAGAAAATACGATCAGAATAGAATACATACAAACGTAATAAAACCACAGCTGTAGCAAAATTTATAACACCATCTAATACAGTTTTCAATGTATGTAAAGAAGCATTTAAGGCAATCTATAAATTGAGGGAGGAAAAAGGAATTTAGAGAGTATGGTTTGACAGTTCACTGAACCTGGTAAAATGTGAACAACTGACTTTGAAAAATATTTATGTATAATATAACAATCAAAGCAACTACTAAAAAAGAGATACTCAAAAACATTTCAGATAAATCAAAATGTACCCCTAAAACATGTTCTAGTACCTCACAAAAAGCAAGTGAAAGAACACACAGAAATGAAAACCAGAACCAAAGGAAAACAAAAGACAAAACGGCATACTGAACATTTCAGGAATTACACTGGAAGTCAATGGTCTATGCGGGAAGGTAGGAGTGATGGTGTTTAAGGGCACAGGCTTGTTACAAGCAGTAAAGAAGCCACAGAGAGCTAACCTGCTGCATACTGAACACAGCCAGTAACCGTCATAGTGCAATCATGCAATAAACACTGCTACACGGCCATCATTTACAACATATAAAGGTATCAAAGTAACAGACAGTACACCTTAAACTTACACAACAGAAACATGTAAATGGTCAAAATATACCAATTACAAACTAGAGATTTGTTGGGGGTGGGGGGAGGCGGTGAGGGTGTGGCCCAACCATATGCTGTCCACAAGGAACCCACTTCAAATGTAATGATACATATGTTGAAAGAAAAAAGATGGGAAAAGAATCACTGTGCAAACATTAATAAAAAGCAAAGCAAAGGTGGCTATATTAATATAAGACAGACTAGACATAAGACTAAAGAAAATGATCAGAAACAGAGACAACACATAATGAAAATAGGGTTAATACATCAAGAAAATTTAAGTGTGTATGGACCAAATGACAGAGCTGCACACATAAATTAGACAATTTATATAAATTAAAAGGACCAATTCTTCAAAAACTATAAAATACCACAACCTATTCAATATGAAATAAAGACTGAATAGCCTTATAACTATTAAGAAAACAGAATCTGTAATTTAAAGGATACCAAAAAAGAAGTCTCCAGGCCCAGATAGTTTCACTGGACATTTCTAACAATGTTTAAAGAAGAACTAACACCAATATCTACACAATATCTTCTAAAAAACAGAAAAGCAGGGAACACTTCCCAAACTCACTCTATAAAGCCAGTATTAGCTGGTAACAAGACAGAGCACAAAAACAGAAAACTACAGACTAGTATCTTTCATAAACGCAGATGCAAAAATTCCTAATAAATACTTGCAAAAAGAGATTTCAGCAATAAATAAAAAGAATTATATACCAAAAAGAATTATATACCATGACCATGTGAGGTTCATTCCAGGGATGCAAGGCTGGTTCAATATTCGAAAATCAATCACTGTAACCTACCGTATTAGCAGGTTTAAAAACAAAAAAGTCACGACTGTATCAAATGATGCAGAAAATCCAGCACCCATTCATGACGAACACGCTCAGAAAACTAGAAAAGGGAGGAACTTCTTCAACTTGACAAAGAGCATCTACAAAAAAGCTACACCTAACATCATACTCAATGTGGAAAAACTGAATGCATTCCCCTAAAACTAAGAGCAAGGCCAGGATGCCTGTTCTCTCCACTGCTACTCAGTACAACACTGGAAGTTCTGACCAGGGCAATAAGACACACAAGGGAACAGAAGGCACATAGAACAGAAAGGATGAAATAAACTATAAACGACATGACTGTCTATGCAGTATATCCCTAAGAATCTACAAAAAATACTTAGAGAACTAATTAGTGAGTTTAGTAAGTTCACAGGCTACCAGATCAACATATAAAAATCAATTGTTTCTTTATACCAGCAATAAATATGGGGAAACAAATTTAAAATACAATACCATATACAAAAGTTCAAAAAAAAATCTTAAGTGTAAATCTAACAAAACGTACAGGATTTATATACTGAAAACTACAAAATGCTGGTGAAAAACATCACACAGGATCTAAACAGAGAGACAAGCCCATTTTCATGGACTGGAAACTCAACATAATAAAGATGTCAATTCTCCCGCCTCAAAAAACCTGATACAAATATTTAAAACAATTCATATCAAAATCCCAGAAAGATTCTGTTATACATTTAGACAAATTTATATGGAAAAAAAGTAGCACCAGAACAGATAAAAGAATTCTGGAAAGGAAGAATAAAGCAGGGGGAATCTGCCTACCCAATCTCCAGGCTCAGCTACTGTCCGTAATCAAGTCTGTGTGGCATTAGAGAAAGGCAAACACACAGATCAATGGACACAGAACCCAGAAATGGACACACACACATACAGCCAGCTGATTTTTGACAGGGATGCAACACCAATTCCAGAAAAGATTAACAGTCTTTTCAACAAATAGTGATGGAACAGGAACAACTGAACACCCAAATGGGGGGGGGGGGAATCAACCTAATCCTCACACCTTATTAAAAGTTAACTCACAATGGAAAAGACTAGTGTGTAAATCCTAGGACTAAAAAACTTACAGAGATAACACAGGAGGAAATCTTAGGAAATTGGTCCTGATGAAATGTTACAGCCAAAGCACAACCCATAAAACAGAAGCTGATGATTGGACTGCATTGAAAATAAAAACTCTGCATAAGGCACGGTTAAAAGAATAAAAAGATACACTACACATCATATATCACACATCAGACAAAGGATTCTTATCTCAGACATGTAGAACTCTCAAAAATTCAAGAATAAAAAATAATAAAACAATTGGAAAATGAGCAAAAGACATGAAGAGACACCGTACTGAACAGGACACCTGGATGGCAAATAAGCACATGAAAGTCATCATCACAAGCTATTAGGGAACTGCAAACTGAGGTCACAGTGGAATACCACTCCATGCCTAACAGAACAGCTACAGTAAAAAAGGGTGGCAACGCCACATGCCAGCGAGGATGCAGAGAAACTGGATCACCCGTACGTTACTGGTGGGAAAGTGGAATGGTGGAGAAACTCGGGGAAATAGTTTGTCGGCTTCTTAAAAACTAACTGTACACCTACCATACATTCGACTCAACAATTACATTTTTGGGCACTTCTCCCAGAGAAATAAAACTTTATGTCTGCACACCAACCTGTACATGAGTGTCCACATTAGGCTGATTGGTAACAGCCAAAATCTGGAAACAACCAGAACGTCCCCCAGCAGGTACGTGTCCCTCAATACATAACGTGGTTCACCCACACCACGGACTCGGCGATAAAAGGAACAGACTAGTGACACAACAGTTCTGATGACTCTCAAGGGCACTGCGCTGAGTGAAAACGTCATACTCGAAATATCACATGCTGTATGACTCCATTTCTGAAATACTGTGGAAATGACAAAATTATACATCTAGACCATCTAGACGGCGAACAAATCAGAGGCTAGCAGGAGTTAGGGAAGGGGAAGGAGGGTGTGACATAACCAGCTGTGGCAGGAAGAAGACTCTGCCAACAGTTTCATATCCTGACTTAGGTGGTGGTTACGCAAATCCACACACAGGAGAAAATGACACAGACATCGTACCAATTTCAAATTCCTGGTTTTGAATTGTCTACCACATAACAACTGGGGAACTGGATGAAGAGAACATGAGATCGCTTCTAATTATCTTTGCAACTTCTTGGGAATCTGCAACTATTTTCAAAATTAAAAGCTAAAAAGAAAGGAGTGCCTCCCGCAATGGAGACTTGTGTGTGCAGCACAGGACACGTGTCACTGCTAACTAGGGGACGCCCCAAGGTATTTGGTATGTGATTTTTTTTAAGGTTCTGTTTTTGTTTTTCCAAATAAAAAAAGCACTTTTTCTGATGATAAAGAGTATTCAAGTCAATCATTAAGTATTAACTTTAAACCATCAAAATTGCATTACCATGATTCATTTTTAAATCTGTCTTAAAAAAAGGGAACATGAAGATTATAAAGCAGTTACTTTATGGTAATAATAACTTGTAGTAATAAGAAAATAGTAAGAAATATTAATAAGAAAGAGCAGTAACAAGAAAATATTGTAATATTATATTACAATAATATTATATTATTATGTATTAAAGTACAATTCTACTTTCTCTGACACTGGCTGGCTCAAGGTTTGTTTTTTAAAGGAAAGCTCCAGGAAGCCCCAGGCTCCCCGCTAGTGGTGCGGGCACGCTCCCTACCTCGGGGGTTGGTGCAGCGTAGGCTGTGTAAGGAGGCGGGGAGGAAGCCACGGCCGTCTCATCATACATGACTTCTGAGCCCACGTAAGCCTGGAGAGGAGAGAAAGCATGAAAGTGAGTTGCCACAGAGCAGCGACAGGCCCTTATGATGCTACGTCCTTTTATTTAGCAAATTAAAAAAAAAAGCCAAAGAATTTAATCTTTGAAGAATAAATGTATCAGCTGAGAAGCAGTGACTCGCAGGATCATCTCCCCCTGCCTCCCACCCCGCACTCTGGGGTCCTCTTAATTCAGGCGGTCCTCCTCCCCCGGCAGCAGGGGACAAAGACAGAGTTTCCACTGCCCAAGAAGGCCACAGAGCCGCCACCGTCACCCAGGCCTTTCAGAAGACACTACACCACTCTCAACAACCCTTCTGTTCGCCAATAAAAATCCTACAACCTGAAATGTAGCAGTCAGGGGTATGTTCTACACTCAGAGTCTGGTTTTTGCATTAAAAAAAAAATCTTCCATTAAATTACTTCCCCAGTGGAAAACAAAGATATATGCACTCTAAGTAACAAAAAAAATCCACGTCTTCACATGGCCTTGGATCCTGCCCCTAAAACTGTATGCAACATCAATACTAATTTCATTCACGAAGAGGATTTTCATGAAAGACAAGGTAACTGGAGCCATAGAGGAAGCTAAGGGGGCAGAACAGCGTTGAGCTAACAGAAGTAGGAAGAAATGGCACATGGATATTATTAAGTCTTTTTACTTCCTTTTCCCACTTGCATAAATTCTTCTACAAGCTCCATCTACCTTTTTCTTTTCTTCCTGGAGAGATAAAGGAAAAAACAAAATCCTATCTGAAGAATGAAAACGCTGAGCACAGAGGCAGCTGCCTTTGATTCCCCGCCAGACACAAAGATGGCCCCACTAGCCTCTACAAACGGGGTTCATTGTTCACTGTCTCAGTCCCCTCCTAAGGTCAAAAGAACGACCAGAGACAAGTACAAATCCCAAAAACGTCTGTTTCACAAGGCTGCAATGCTGCACTTGAAAGGCACCCTGTGGTTCTTTTTGAGCCCTCTCTCTAAACCACAGCAGAATTCCAAGTGTTGCAAACCTTTGTGACATACAAATGTCTCTAGGAAACAACACTGGAACCAGTGTGCCTTTGTTAGGATGGCTCCTCCTGCTAAAATGTTTGGCAAAATCCAGCTTGCTCACTGTCAACGAGAGGCAGCCTGTCTGTCTCCACTTGCTCATCCAGGGCCAGACAGCCAAAAAACCTCTCTTCCCCATTTCCCATCTTAACCTCCTATTCTCCTGTTTGTTACAGCAAGGCTGGTGAGAACACTGCTGGCGACTGCCATCAGCCACTTACCGTGTTTGTCCTGGAATCCTGGAGTGTAAATTTCCAGGCCCTGGAGAAAAGAAAAAGGAAAAGGTACTTTATTGGAGGCAATCCAACATCTCTCTCAATGGTTCTCAAACCTGCATTGGCATCACAATTTCTGAAAAGGCTTGTTTTAAGAACAGATTTTTAGCCCTTGCCTTTAGGCCCACTCAATCAACTCATTTGAGACACGCACTAGGAATATACAATACGCAAGGAAATAAATCTATAATACATATATAATATTTAAAGCATAATCTATACCAGTTTTTGCTTTATTTTTTAATAAATGTAAAACGTACCATGCTTAACTACACTGAAACTTGCTTTAATCAGTTCATGTCATACACACAGATCTACTTGATTTTTAATGGCTACATAATGTTCCATGATGTAAGTCTTAGATGGTCAGCATTTTTTTGCAATTAAAAATAATGCTAACTTCTTTGAGAAACTGACATATAACGTACAGAAGTTTAAGGTGTACAACGTGATGACCTGATATACATACACAGTGAAACCATCGCACAACAAGGCTAACACCGCCAACCCTGCACACGACTACCTTTCTGTTTTTTCCGGTAATATTTAAGATCTACTCTCTTAACTTTCAAGTATAAGATACAGTATTACCAATTAGTCACTATGCTGTACAAGATGCCCAGAGAGTAGAATGGGGTTTGCCGGGACTGGGGAAAATGGGGAGATACTACCTACTCTCGCCTTCTGTGAGTTCACTTTTTTAGAGTCTACATATAAGTGACAACACACAGTGTTTTCCTTTTGGTCTGACTTCACTTAGCATAATGCCCTCAAGGTCCACTCGTGTAGCTGTAAAGGCAGGGTTTCCTTTCTTATGAGTGATTAATATACCACTGCCCACAATGCGTAAGTCTTGTGTCACAGCACCAATTCACCCATCATCAGACACAAGCTGTTTCCACGTCTTGGCTACCATGACTAATGCAAGCAGTGTGGGGGTGCAGCTCTCTTCAAGACAATGATTTAATTTCTTTCATATACCCAGATACACACCCAGAAGTGGCATTTGTGAATCATACTGTACTTTTACTTTAAGTTTTTGAGGAACCTCCATAATGTATCCATAATGACTGCACAAGTTAACATGCCCACCAACAGTGCACTTTTCTCCACGTCTGCACCCACACTTACCTTTTGTCTTTTTGATAACAGTCATTCTAAGGTGTGAGGTGATCTCACTGTGGTTTGGGTTTGCACTTCCCTGATTATTTGTGATGTTGAGCATCTTTGGGAAGATGTCTATGCAAGTCCTTTCCCCATCTTTTAATTGGTCTGTTTTTATGCTATGGAGTTGTACAAGTTTCTTATATATTTTAGGAATTAACCCCTTATCACATAAATGGTTTGCAAATATTTCCTACTTTTATAAAAATCCTATGGTAAAAAATGCTATTTATGAAAAGCCTATGGTATTTTCCTATTCCATAGGATGCCTTTCATTTTTCTGTCTGTTTTGCTGCACAGAAGCTTTTTAGCTTAACGTGGCCCCAATTTGTTTACTTTGGTTTTTGTTGATTGCACCTCTGGTGTCATATTCAAAAATCAATTCCAGGACCAACACCCAAGCCCTTCTCCCCCACATTTTCTTCTAGTTGATTTTAAAGTTTAGGGCCTTTCATTTATGTCTTTAACTCATTTCAAGTTAATTTTTGTGAGTGGTCAAGATAGGGTCCAAGTTCATTCTTTTGCATGTGAATGTACGGCTTTCCCAACATCATTTATCGAGGAGACTATCCTTTCCCCAGTGAGTATCCTCGGCTCCCCTGGCAGGTGTTAGTTGGCCATATACGCATGGGTGTATTTCTGGGCTGTTGGTTCTGTTCCATTGTTCCCCATGTCTGTGTAGCATACTGATTTGACTTAGCTTTGTAATAGAAACTGAAATTGGAAATTGTGATGCCTTCAGATTTGCTGGTCTATCTCAGGATTGCTTTGGCTATTCAGGGTAATTTGTGGTTCCACGTGAATTTTCGGATTGTTTTTTCTGTTTCTGTAAAAACTGCCATTGAAAGTTTGATAGGAATTGCACTGCATCCACAGATGGCACTGGATAGTATGGGAATTCTAGTTATTAGTTTTTCCAATCCATGAATGTGTAGTATCTTTGCATTTATTTGCATCTTCTTCACTTTCATCAAAGACTTACAGCTTTCAGTGTACAGGCCTTTCATCTCCTTGGTTAAATTTAAGTATTTTATCATTACTGGTGTTACTGTAGATCGGATTGTTTTACCAAACAGTTCACTGTTAGTGTACAGAAACGAAACTTTTTTTGTTGATTTTATATCCTACAACTTTACTGAACTAGTTTATTAGGTAGAACAGTTTTTTGGGAGTATTTAGTGTTTCCTATGTATAAGATCAGGTCATCTATAAACAGAATTTTATTTCTTCCTTTCTGATTTGAATACCTTTTCTTTTTCTTGCCTAACTGCTTTGGCTAAGACTTCCAGTACTATGTTAAATAAAAGTGAGAGAGTGGACATTCTTGTTTTGTTCCAGATGTTAGCGGGAAAGCGTTCAACCTTTCATTATTGAATATGGCATTAGCTGTGAATCCATCATATATGAAAACAATGCTATTAACATCCTTATTACCTTTGCACCCTCATGTAATCATTTCATGGGGAAAATTCCAAAGAGTGAAAACTGCTAGATGAAAAGATATAAATGTAACTGATTTCAGTGCCAAATGGCCCTGGAGAAAGGTGTAACAAATTCTACTACCAGCTTTCCCCTGAATGGTCACAAAAACTAGACGCCTAAATCTTTAATCTCTCCAATTTTCTGCTCTCCTTCCTCCTCCACTTCTCCTTCTTACTTACTCCCCACCCTTCTTACCTTTATCCATTTCTTTTCTGTTGTATTATCCTCTTATTGCCTTCTGAGTTGAAAGCTTTGCTAAGTTATTTGAAATGTTCTGGTTTTCTAATGAATGCAGTGAAGCTGCAAGCTTCCCCAACAGATTCACAAGCAGTACACTGCTGCCGTTCATTTTGCTAAAGGGCATCATATTGGATTGTTCATATCCCGTATCTGGATCTTTTTTGGTACTGTATCACATGGGCGAGTCCAGTATGGTCTTTGGTCCACAAATTCAGTTCTATTATTTCAGAATATCTTTCATGCACTCAATTTCTAACTACTGTTTTGGGTTCTAAACTTCTTAGGTATCAATAATCTTTCTGATAAATTCTCTTAATCTTTGTAACATAGCTCTGATCTTTTCTGCTAACTCTTTAATATTTTCCTACTTTCACTGAGTACCTCACGTCTTTCCTCCACGCCAGTGATTTATTTTTCAGTTGGGCTTGTACCCTCATCAATGCAGGTACACCTCATGACAGGCCTTCTAGGCTAAAGAGATGCAAAAGGGCACAGAAGAAACAAATCCCTGCTCTCATGCAGACTATATTCTAATGAAAGGAGATAAAGAACAAGGCAGATAAACAGCTGGACAGCCGGTGAATATGTATGTATGTGTATGGTGTGAAAGGGGTGATACTGTTTAAAAAAGGCAGAAGGGGGGAGGTTGTAGCTCAGTGGTAGAGTGTGTGCCTAGCATGCACGGGGTCCTGGGTTCAATCCTCAGTGCCTCCATTAAATAAACAAACAAAAAACCTTAAAAAAAGTTTAAAGTAGCCAGGAAAGCACGCTTGAAAAAGCCACCTATGTTTCCTTGATTTTACCTTCCCAGACTAGGAGCTTTTTCTGAGGCTTGCACTTTCTTTCTCTTATTTTTCCTTTATAGTATATATATGTGCATAGCTGCCAAGCCATTTCTTTGTATCCTGCTCATGTTTAACATGGGAAGTGTTACTAAAACTTCCATTTGCTCAGATAGGTGTTGTTTCTTCTTCACACCCTTCCAAACCTAATCTGGCATCAACTGGCTGCCCGGCCCTCCTCCACCCCAGCAAGAGTTTGATGACTAAGTGTTACCTTCCATCACACTTCTGTAATCCGAGGGCATACGGGTAGGAAAGAAGGACACTGGCTGGTGGGACTGAGCAAGCGCTTTCTGAAACATCCGGGTTCACCACTCTCCTAAGCACAACTCCTTTGAGTGTCTTGTGCTAGGGTTCGCTTCACCAGCTAGACAATGATCCTTCTCTGCCTTCCAGTGCTCTGGAACGACAAGCCCTGGGGGAACCTTCCACTCTATGCTGAGGTCCCAAGAGTATCATATTCTCAAGGGTTTTTCCTTAGCTTTTCCGTAAGTGTCTCTTTACTCCCTTAATCAGCATCTCTACAGGTTGCAGGGTACTACCAAAAATTTGCAAGATTTAATTAACTCATCTTCTTACTGCTTCTGGGAGCTGGGGTAGGGTTAAAAACAGTGATACTCCTCGAAAGAATCGTCTGTGTCTTTCCCTGGCTGTCACTCTCAGTGCTCTGTGCTTGGACTTAAACTGCTTTATTTGGCTCTTGCTGCTGAGATGTTTCCCCCTTCATTTCACTAGATAGCTGAGAAAGATGTTACAGATTCATTTCACCATTTTTACTCAGAGGTCTCTGTGATGGGTTAAACTGTGTTCCCTGCAAAAGGATAAGCTGAGCTCGTAATCCCCAGTACCTGTGAATGATTTAGAGACAGGGTCTTTGCAGATGGAATCAACTTAATATAAGGTTACGCTGAATGAAGGTGTCCTTATATGAAGAAAAAACTTGGACATGGACATGAAGGAGAGTATCACGCTACCAGAGAGGCAGAGATTGGAGTGACGCAGATACAAGTCAAAGAAAACCAATGATAACCGGCCACAGTCAAAACTGGGAAGAGAGAGGGCGGATGCAGCTCAGTGATCAGAGTGTGTGCCTAGCATGCATGAGGTCCTGGGTTCAACCCAAAGTACCTCCATTAAAACAAAAACAACATCTAGGAAGAGGCCAGGAAAGATCCCACCCAGAGCCTCGGAGGAAACATGGCTCTGCTGACACCTGATTTCAGACGTCCAGCTTCCAAAGCCGAGAGGATAAACGTGCTGTTTGAAGCCACCCAGTTCGTGCTACTGTCACAGCAGCCACAGGAAACGCACAGCCTCCTGTGCTTTACTCTTCCATCTTTCTGTGTCATTTTATTTCAAGTGTGTTCTTGTTAGCAGAATAAATAGCTGATCTTTGTATTTTCTGCCCAATCTCAGCTCTTATTCTTTTTAAGGGGAATTTAACCAACTCACATTTATTGAGATCACAGATACCATTGGTCTAATTACTGCCTCTTCACTTCCTGTCATGTTTTATTAAGTTTTCCTTTTTCCTTTAATAAGGAACGCTTTCCTTTTTACTCTTCTAGTATTATCCTCCACTGCTCTCCTCCGTAACTGTACCCTTGAATTTAGACCCTTACATAAACCACTGTTTTCCCATCAAATTAAGAAAACGTCAGTTCCTGTGACCCACATACTCTTCCAGCCCAAGTAAGGCAAGTCCTTCAGCACACATTCACCCTTCTCCCGCCTCTATGACAAAACATGCCACGTTTTGTCAAAATTCTCTAAAATTTCAGCTCTAGACATGCTTTCTGCTGCTACTTAAAGGAACAGTCCATACATGTGACATCTCAGCAAACAGTAAGCAGAGCCGTTAAGAACAGAGGGCTGTGCAGACAGAAGGTTCAAACCTGAGTCTAGTTTACTTGCTCTAAATCCGTGGGAAGTACAGCAGGCAGAACGATGCCTCCTCCCCACGAAGGTCCACATCCTAAACCCCAGAAGCCGTGAAAATGTTACCTCACAGGACAGAGGGACTCGGAGCTCCACGTAATTCAGGACCTCGAAATGGGGAGATTATCCTGGATTATCGCAGGAAAGATTATTAACTCTTTCTAAGTCCTTAGAAGCAGATGACCTTCCCTGGCTGCAGAGAACCAGGCAGATGCCAGTGAGAAGGGCTCAGCCCAGAGGCCAAGGAATACAGGAGGCCTCTCGAAGCCGGGAAAGCCCAGGAAACAGATTCTGCCCGCAGGCCTCCCGGAGGGATCGCGGCCCTGCCAACACTCTGAGACCTAATGTTGAACTCTGACCTCCAGAGATGTGACGACAGATCTGTACTGTTTGAAGCCACTAAGCCTGTGGTGTATTACAAGAGCATTAAAAAACTGCTAACAGGAAGTTACTTAACTTCACTATGCCTGTAAGATATGGTGAGGATTAAACAACATATAAAGCAGCTGGCACATTGCCCAGTGAGAAGTATGTGTTCGACGTACACAAGCTTGAATTATTAAACAGCAATAGTGAAGCTCCAGTCTATAAAGAGCAGCAAACCTTGACAGGTGCTCATTTCTCCATCACTCTAGGAAAGCTACATCTTTTCCAGAAAGCGCCATTTAAGATTCACTAATGTAAGTGAGAAGAGTGTAAAAAAGAAACTACACGTGGGATTTGAAATAAGCCCTAGAGTCTAGCACAGAATAAATGCCTACACGGAGGGTAAACATACGTTGTGAAACGCAGGGGCAGGCACTCTCACAAACTGCTCAGCTGGATTTTACAAAAATGTCACATATATATGCACATTTTTAATATATGGGAATATTACAATAATGCCTGCTAGCGATTCTGACAATGTCCAGAGTTAACCCACCACAGTGGGACAATGTGGACAGAAAACAAATTCTTCTCCCAGATTTCCTCTGGTCAGTGTTTTCAAGACTCTGATGCGACATCAGTGCTAATGTTCACAGGCGGAGAATAAATCAAGTGAGGTTTTCCTTCCTGTGCCTCCAAACCCCTTCTTCAGAGATGGCAGACGGGAGCAAGAACCATCACAAGAAGGGAAAGGCTGCCTAATACAGACACCAGTACTTTTAAAAGACATTCACATAAAAAGAACAAGCTTTCAGAGCCTATTCAACTATGCCCGTTACCCACTGGGCATCTAGCAATGAAAAAAGAAGAGTGCAAAGTGCCTGTGTGCCACTCCCCTCCGCCAGGCTCACTGCAGCGGAACCCCGCCTGGGCAGCCCTGCAGAGGCAGACACTAGGATCCGGGTTACCACGTGGAACAGGACTCTGTTCCATTTCCCTTACACATCTTCTGAGTCACTTATTTTGCTGCCTCTAGGGAAACTCCACTCCCATTATTTTGCCTTCCTGATAAATGGAAATCAAAACAGAAAATACTTTTATAATTAAGCACACTGAAAAAAGAACTTACAAACAATCATCTGTGCTTTCTGCACAAAGACTGATGGTCTTCCCATCTCGGCAAACAATCTGCAGCATACAGTCCTTCGTCTTCCCATCTGGAGGCTGAATATCTATGAAAAACACAGAATAAAGAAATATTTATACAGTTTTTTTGTGTGTGTAAGGATTTCTTCTTAACAGATCAGATAAGCAAAGGACCAGTACTTCAGAATGCTACAATTATAAAACATCTTTGTTCTGCTCTACAGAACCAAACACGTGAATCATGACTCCATTCCAATTAAACTTCCTGCAGGAAAAATACGTGGGCCTCTCTAGAGGTCAATCCACATGTGGTGGTGTGCAGACAGCCCAGACGCGAGAGGAGGAAGCGCGATGAAGACGGTCACAGAGCGTCAGCTAACGGACCACTTACTCACAGGGAGCGTCAGGCCGGATCGGGGCTTTAAAAGTGAAAATCAGATGTACCAAGTCTCTCTGTGTGCCAAGACGTAACACCTATGATACTTTAGCCCAGTTTAGGTAAGGATTTCAATAGCTGGCCGTAGGGAGTTGGGTTTCAAGAACCAATATATAGGGGCAGGATGTTGTATCACCAGTGGCTACCACAGCATACTCTATTCCAAATAGCAACAGAGCTAGTAAAACAAACAGGGAAATCTAAATATGCCATTAATTAGAAACAAAGAAGCCTGTGCTTGTTGAAAAACTATTCCTCTAAAATTAATATAAGGGACAACGCCAAGACATCACGGGTTGTCATCAGTAAGAAGCCAGTTTCTCAGTCACAGAACTCATACTGCCTAGAGAAGCCCCATCCTTCCTGGGGTTCCCAGCACTTTGGGTCCTGAGCTCCCCACCACCTTCTTCTGTGTGAGAGGGAAAGAAGTGTGGACTGGTGGGTCTAATTCACATGAGAAAATTAACTTGCCCCACCCGTATGGGTCATAATCTAAGTGTCTGGTTTCCTCTGGTCACCCCTTCCCAGGTGAACCCCTTCTTTGGTCTGTAAATGAAAGCAGAATGGGAAAGGGAAAGCAGCGCCCACGGAGGATTGGGAGGGGCAGGCGACAGGTGCTGGCCGAGAAGACCCGCTCACCCCGGCACTCATGCCCCGTGCGGATGTTGATGCAGTCCACCGGCATGTGGACCTTGTCCTCCACGCTCTGCCGGCTCTGGTCATCGTAATAGATCAGGTGACCATCTGACCACAGGTCAAACCAATTCTTCTTCCAGCGCTTCAAAATAGTACCTGGGAAAAAAAGGAGCAAATGTCGGCTTTGAGCGGAAAAGAGACTTTGTCCTCTAATTCACAGGTAACAGAAACAAAGGAAACTTTCCTTCCGCTCCAAAAGTGCATAGAAGCAAGCAAAGCAGCCCACCGGAATGAAGCGAAGGCAGACCCCACCAGCAGCACGAACACCACGCTCGACCAGGGCTGCTGGACACTGCAAACGCTGCCAATGTGGAGTCCCAAAACATTACCCAAAAATTCATAACCCTTGATT